GCTGTGCTTCCCATCTGAAAGGACATCTGTGTAATGCTAGCACCGTGAAAGGGAAACACACAACCAACGTGCCATTAAGCCGGTTGAAATCGCAACGGAGATGTAACTGAAGGAAATTATTTTAAAACTGTGATTTTTGCTGTTCTTCTAATAACTTGGAAAGTGTCCCTGAAGAAGTTTCTTAATTCTATAAAACCAAAATGTAGACAAAAACTTTTCTGAAATGTTTGTCCACATAATGCTTGTATCTTGCTCTGTGACGTGGAAATAAGTTTTAGAAAAGTAAGGGCACATTTTCACACCCTTCACTAGAAATTTCCAGAGACTTGCTGTGGGGTTGCTTCTTTGGCAACAGCCACTGCGCTGGGAATATCGCCCCCAGCAGGGAAGGGGAAGCCATGAAACTGAAAAGGGAGAAAACCGGCGGCCTGTTTCACAAGACTTACTTAGCAGGAATGGAGGCTGAGTCTGTCCGAGGTATCTTCATCCAAGTCCAATGTGCCCTGGCTTGCCACTGCACACGACAAATTAAATAATGCGGGCACATGCGGGTATGATATTGGGTAAATGTATAACAAGATAATTAATGTTAGAAATAGGAAAGTTCTATTTTGTTATTGGCCAAATAATAATAGTAAATATTTTGATTCAGTTGGGATTTCTCGTAATGGTTTCCATGACCATGAAAAGTCTCTTCTCCAGTGTTTTTGCCTACAGTGTTTGAATCAAGGAAGTCCAAATGCTGTAAAAAAACAGCACCCAGCACCCCACGACTTAGCGCAGCTAATTTCCCACTTGGGTGACCAACCACAAGCATGGGTCAGGGCTGCCTTCGACCTGCTGATTCAGAGCCAGCCTCTTTTCCTCTTGGGATTTTGCCGTCTTCTTCGACATTAGAGTCCTTTGCTCCTGGCTGGCAATAGAAAAAGAGGCCAGAAAAGGCAAACTCACTTCTTAATCCCATCAGCCTAGAAGTGACTTTGCATCCACCCGTTCACCAGCCACTGGCCAGTGTTAGCTGTGTGGCCACCATGCAATTCCCCAGCGAGAGGAGCTGAGGTTTATAGACTGGCGGAGCAGCCACTTGGCAGTCACTACGCCACACCATGGAAGGACAGTGGGGTTTTTAGTGGATAGCCAACTGACCCTAGAAAACCCAGAATCATTTGCTTTGATCTTACATTCTAATATCTTGGTGGAGGATCAGAGCTGCATGAGAATGAGGTCTTTGTCTCAAGGAGGCTTCGACTTAAAAAAATACATCGAAAGCTCAAATCTTTTCTCTGAGATCAGGAAGTCAGCAGCAAGAAATTAAAGTTAGATATGTATGCTCATGGACCGAGAACCCAAATTCATCTAGTTTATTCATTCATATGCTCAATGAATATTCATTTAGAAGGACATAAATATATAGGTGAACATAAAATCGCATGTAAGTCTCATATGGCTTTTTTAATTTTTTATTTTGTGGACTTACCACAAACCTTGAAAAGACTTGAAGTGTTGAACATGAATGTGACACTCTCACAAAAGAAGGTGATTTTGAAATTAATAGCTTACTATTTCCGCTCTAAAAGAAATGAGATGTGTAAGAAATGTGTAATTTCACGTTCTTAAAAATTACATATATATCTATATATCTCCCTCCAAATTTGCTTCAATAGAACATTGCTTTCTTTAAAATATATAAGTTTTTTAAAAGTTCAGGCATAAATTATGAAGTGAAGAAGGAGTTTTAAAAGGCAAACGCCCTCTTAAAAATATGAAAGGAAAAACCTCTGTTGGTTATACGAGAAGAGCTGTGCTCTAATTTGATTGAGAGAGAATTTCGAACTGAATCTATCACAGGAGTGGGACAGAGGTAGTTTTAGAGCTGTTCTAATTTTACTTTTGATATATATATATGGAAAATATATGTGGAAATATATATAAATATATATGGAAATATATATATATGGAAATATATATATGGAAATATATATATATGGAAAAATATAAGGAGGGGATATTGTCAAGTGGGGCTAAGCTACGGCAGGTTCTAGCAGCGAAGGCGCCGCGCGCTCCTGCAGGTCTCTCGGCCGTCCTGCCCGCGGGAAGGCCTGGCTGTCTCTTCCCCTTCCTGTGAGGGCGTCAGTCCTGTGGGATTAGGGCCACACCCTCGCGTCCCCATGTAACCTTAATTAGCTTTCGAAAGGTCCTATCTCTAAGTACAGTCTCACTGGGGGTTGAAGCTTCGAAATGTGAATTCTGGGTGGGTGGAGGGGGGACCACACGATTCCATCCGTAACAGCCTCTGACGCCCCGGAATTCCGTGCAGTTTTCTCCTGACTCCAGCTCAGAAGGCCGCTCTTCCGTGAATTGGTTTCTCTTTCTTCATGGCCAGCAGTTAGTTGCCCTGACAACCTGGTCTTTTATCTCCTTCCCCACTCAATGCCCCTCTTGCTATGTTATGACTTGCAGATGGTGAAGTAACTGTCGCATATTTTGTCATTTCGTGAGCAAGAACCCTTCCTGGCTGCTCCCGTGGGGAGGCCATTTGGGATCTGCTTCTGGGTTGTTTCCCGCTGTCTCCCTGCTCTTCCTGCCGTCTCCCTGCTCTTCCTGCCGTCTCCCTGCTCTTCCTCCTGTCTCCCTGCTCTTCCTCCTGTCTCCCTGCTCTTCCTGCTGTCTCCCTGCTCTTCCTCCTGTCTCCCTGCTCTTCCTCCTGTCTCCCTGCTCTTCCTCCTGTCTCCCTGCTCTTCCTCCTGTCTCCCTGCTCTTCCTCCTGTCTCCCTGCTTTTCCTCCTGTCTCCCTGCTGCCTGGTCCCTGCCGTGTGACCCGCACGCTGTATTCCTTCCTTCTCCGCATCCAGGATCTCTTTTTATGGGTGTTGTTTACCCTGGACTTTCTCTGTGTCTCTCTACTTCTCTGCTTCTATATTGTCTCTGAAGATTCTCCTTGTGTTCCATAATCAGAAGACGTACTTTATTTGGGTTTGCTTTGAACTTTGATCCCATTCCCTGTGGCCAGCGTGGCAGCAGCGTGTGGGGCCACTTAGGAGGAAAATTCTCCACAGAACTTCACAGGATGTTGTGCTTCTTTAAAGTACGATTTGGGGGCATTAAGTAATAGACTCTAAGAATTCTTTTTACCTAACTTTTCCCTTTTTTTAGCCATTTTATCACAACCAGATGCACCTATTTACCATCTCATTACGTATTATGTTGTTCTAAATACGAACAAAGAATAATGTCTTCAAGATCATCAATTCTTTGTTTCATGGTAGAGAACACGTGCACTCACAGTGACAGGGGCCTGTCCTGTGTCTCACTGTGCAATAGCATGTAGAGCCGAGGTTATAGATCTGGTTTTCTTCTCCTGTCCAGCATCCTCTCGCATGATACCCCATTACATGTGGATTTTTGAAGTTCTAGATTTAAGGGTCTTATCCTTTATGCTTATAAATCTTGGATTAACAAACTATGCAGAAATCAGTTGTCCTGGGATTTAAACATATATTTAAAAAAATTTTCTAAAACAACAATAATAAAAATAGCCTTTTCAGAGATAAGTTTAAAATTAATTCACTGACAACCTCCCTTACCCAACTTTACTCCATGAGGAAGTCAAAGGGAGAGATGCTCCTCCTTCAAATTAAGTTCAAAAAAAAAAAAAAAAAGGGAGAGATGTTTAAAAGCAAATCTGATTAAGTTGCCCACCCCGTAAAGCGTCCCAATGACTTCATTCTCTTCTGAAAAAGTACAAGTTTCTTTTTGTGGCACTCTAGGTCTTTTCTGAGCTTGCCCACTTACATTCAAAGCTAAATGTCACGTTGGATGAGAGAAACACCCTGTCCTCCAAAGGTGCTGACATTATACTAATCAAAGGCCTCCTCCTCCTGCCCCTCTGCCTTCTTCTTCAAACTACTGTGTTTCCTCGGAAATAAGACCTACCCATAAAATAAGCCCTCGCAGGATTTCTAAGCATTTGCGCATTAGAAGCCCCACCCCGAAAATAAGACCTAGTGATGGGTGTGGCCACGCAGCGCATCTGCACAACCCATGCAGTTCCTCCTGGAGGGTAAAGAAGACGAGCAGCCCTTCTCATCTGCCCCGTGAGAGCTCTATTGCTCGACCTGAGAGATTGGGGCCAATGGTTCTAAAGGAAACAGAGTCACAAGAAATTCAGGATGGAATTCAGGGTTTGGAGAGTGATGATGATGTTCCAGAAGAAGACGACTTAACTATATTTGAATCAATGTAGATTGTTGGATCATACTTAAAAAAAAATAACACATCCCCTGAAAATAAGCCCTAGGGTGTCTTCTTGAGGAAAAATAAATATAAGACCCTGTCTTATTTTCAGGGAAACATGGTATATTGTTTCTGAGAACATTGCTCTAACTTCTTATTTGCATGTATTTAGACTACATGTAAATTAGGCTGTGTTCCTCAGAAAGGCAAGACAGCACCATTTTACAGAAAGTTTGCAAAATAGTAAGTCAATAGCAAAAAATGTTCCCAAACCAGGATGCTGGGGAGAGGGCCACAATGAAGGTGCAGGAGAGAAGAGTCTTGATCCCTGGGGATCAGGGGACAGAAAAGCCCTGAAACTTTCTGAAATGCAAGAGGGTCTAGGAAGGTCTGAAGAAAATGAAAAGTTTATTTTAATAGTGAACTGAAGAGTTTCATCATAGAAGTTTTAATTTCAGAAATAATACTGGCAAATCAACAAAAAGGCCCATATTTTCTTGTATTTAATTATGATTATTTTAAGATAATTAATTTGAATTTATGAAGTGAAATTTCTTGGGGAAAAAAAAGTAATGGAATTTGAACATCCAAATCATGTATAAAAGTGAAGTAGAAACATTCCTAAAATTAATCTGTTTACTTAAAATCTTACTGTATGTATCTTTGAGAAATTTTCTAATTTCTTTTTCTGTTTCTTCCACTTGATATATTTTCAACAAAATTAATTTGCATATTTTCTAACAGCTTGATTTTTATTTGATTTGTAGGCACTTCGCTACCTTGGCTAACATCTGTCTCAAAACCAGCTCAACTATAGTAAAAATACTCCCATTAGAGAAAAATAGCTTTAACCATATCCTGTTTGAAATCTGGACTGTTGATAATTTATAAGAACTGTTCAACCACTATGGCCAAAAGTGGTGAGGAGACTGGATTGCAGCCAACAGATACAAGGCCTGTTGAGGCCAAGGGAGGAACAATCATTTACAAAATACATATGAGTTTAAGTAATGACATAGAAGAGATGAAAGTGAACAAATTAGAAGTCAATGATAATTATATCCTGTAAGTTAGAGAAGTAAAATGTACTGGCATTTAAAAAATTTCAACAAGTCATTCATTCTTTACTGAGGCAGTGCTTTTCAATGTACGGGCCTGCTGCAAGCTTTATACTGACGCAGATTTTTCCCTAACAGCTGGATTTTCATTTGATAATGCAGTTACATTTGAATTTGCTCTCTTATAGCTTTCTTGGATTTACTGAGGAAATGCAATTATTAAAATGACATTGAATCATAGCTTTTCATTAAAAAATCATGTCTTTGCCTAAAAATGCCAGTAGCCCTAATGGAATGCTACTTTTTTAAAAAGTCTTTTTTCACTTGTTCTTGCCTAGAGAAGAAGCAGTAAATGTCTATATTAAAAATTTTTTTGTTAATAATGTATGATATCATGTCGGCCGATAGATTCTTTTAGAAAGTATTTGTACTTATAAAATGTCAACAATTTTACCTTTTAACTGATTACTGTGAATTATATATAAATATCTATGTATATGTACATATATGTGTGTGTTTATGTATAAACCTAATTTTATGTATAATTATGTTTATGTATTTATTTATAGAAAAATATATAATACATATTGTATTATATATAATTTTATTATATGCATAATTATATATATATTATATATAAAATTGAGAGCCACCTAGATGTGTATATACACCTCCCCTTCTGAGTGAAGGACTGGGAGCACCAACTGGCTTCTGATTTAGCAAGTTTGTGGTTGACGGAGATGCTTCCATAAGGCTCATAACTCAACTCCACCAACCGCTACACAATAGCGTCAGAATCTTTTCTTAAATTATTTTGTTTCTAATTGACGCATAATTTTACATATTTATGGGTACAATGTAATGTTTGGATACATGCATACATTTTGTGATGATCAAATCAGGGTATTTAGCATATCCGTCACCTCTATATTTATGATTTCCTTGTGTTGACAACATTCTAAGTCCTCTTTTAAGCTATCTTGAAACTTACAATACCATACTGTTAACTATAGTCACCCCACTGTGCATAGAACGCCAGAACGTATTCCTCCTATCCATCTGTAACTTAGGACCAATCTCTCCCCATCCACCCCTCCCCCTCCCCCGACTGAGTCTCTGGGGACTTGAGGAAGAGGAGGTTATGTTGAGGCTCATAAACAATCCCAGCGCTTGCAAGAGCCATGTTAACACAGGCAGGATCAGTTGGAGAGAATTCCAGAATCTGTTTGTGAGCAGCACCGTGCACCACCAGCAGGAGGCAAGCATGTGGGAACTGCACCCACGCTCAAACTGCTCCGGTAGCTGAGATAGTGTCTAACCTTGCCAGTGCCAGAGAACTAAGTTAATTGTCCTTCTTGGTGGCATCTCATGAGGAACACTCATAAGAAGTAGGTAGTACGCCAGCCGTAATGTTCAGGAAGGATGTCTCCCAGCAACTCTGCAAGCGTGGTTAGCCCCTTCCTTCCAACAGGACAACAAGGGTGAAAATCCCTTTGGGTAGCCTCAGATGCTCTTAAGAGCTCTTGGAATGGGTGGGTGTGTGGGTGGGTGTCTAGATGGTCTGTGTGTGAACAGAGAGGAACTAGCTGCAGGGCTGTGCCAGTGTGGGATTGAAAGGAACCGCAGCTCTTTCTCCACGAGCCTTGGTACACGAGCATATTTATATATGAATTAGCGCAGGACATACATACCCTCTAAAGACTTAAAAAGATAATGAAGGCAGTTTCTCAAGAAACTTAATTTACAATATGAACAATCTTTAATATGGGAGAAACTAACTCAGTAAATGTTAATGAAACAATTAGAACCTTATAAATATATGTATACAATGTGATAAGTAAAAGGAAGGAAATGTACAGGACCTAATTTTGGATTAAAGAGTCAGTGAAGGTCTTGGATTATGGCTGAAGGAAAATATACCTTCTTGACACTTGTATTCGAGGGTCTCTCAGTCTCGTTCTTCTGCCACTAAGGAAAATATCCTTAGTGAAGGCTTTCCCAAACCTGCAGGGTTTTCTTGAAGCATGGACAGTCCACTGGCTCTGTAGTATGAATACTATGGAGATTGTGCAAGGAATGCTATTCCATTTTTATTTTATATTCATAGGGATGGTTTTAGATACTGAATAAGTTATGTATTTTACCTGAACTAGTTTTTATATTCATTACAATGCTTCTCTGAAATCGGCATTCTATAAAGTGGTTTAAAATATGAACATTCTGAACACTTTTTCTGCATTTGTCATATGCAGAGAGCTTTGCTTTAATATACATTCTTTTGATACAAAAGATAGAATGAGCTACAGAAAAAATATTTGTAAATGTCTTATAGTTTTTGGATTGCTGCTCGATGTTTTCAAAACATGCAGATGTATAAACACAGACATACAAATGTGCATATAAAATGTATATGTAATGAAATCCATAAATATAGTGGATTCTGTTTTTTCTGTTTTAACAGGTCAAGTGATCTGATCATGTGTATCTTTGAATGACCATTCTTAAGACAAAATATTATACCTCTGAATTATTCATTTTTTATTTTCTAGATTTCTCTTTCTGTTTTATGATATAAAGCTCAGTGATTGCGTATCTACTAAATTTAAATAATAATATTTGGAATGTTGACTAAAGCCTTCCAAATGTTGCATGTTCATAAGGAAACAATAAAAAATAAGAAAGTAAAAAAAATAAAACCAGATAACTGTCAAACACCAGTATGAGAGATAACTATTGTTAATGTTAGCAGAACATCATTCTGTGCATATGTCTATATACATAATCCAAAAGAGGAATGAGAAAGACATACAGGCAGATGGATATGCAATAAAAATTTTACATAGAATTATATTGTAAATGCTATTTTTCACTTGAAATATATAAAGTTAGTTGAATTTCAAAGAATACTGCCTAAAGTATTACCAAAATTTCTTCAAATGCTTATTATGTCCAATATATATTAATTTGTAAAATATCTCCTAAGTTAAAAAATATGCCAGTTACTATAGAACCACATTTCAGTTTTAGATGATTTATTGAGTCATAATTAAGAAGCATGTAATTTAGTATGCTTATAGCTCTTTAACTGGTTTCTCATAATTTTTTCTATTTATAATACTATACATTTATAAATTATAAATTTTTTCTATTTATAACATTGCTATTGTGATCAACTGTTTGATATTTGTATCACTTAAATTTCTAAATGTAATGATAATTCTCGAAGAACTTTAGTCTATAATCTCTTTTGAATGGCCTTAATGCTCCCTGATGTATTAGTTCTTTTTATTGTATCTTCTGAATTCATCTCTTGTCAAGAATACACATTATCATTTTTTTCAATGTTTTGATGTCCTACATTCCATAAATTCCATTGTATTCACCAGTTTTCTTTTTTATTTATTAATTATGACATTTAAAATTTGGAGAAAATTACTACCAACCTAGGTAGACCTGGGTATGCAGCACCAGGTTTTGTCAAATCATAACACTTTGCCATATTTACTTCAGATCCACTTTTCTGAGAAGCAACATACTAGGGAAAAGTTGACGCCTCTACTGCGCCATTCCACACTGCGCCCATTTTCCCTGCCACACTCCCCAGCTCAGCCCAACCCTGAATTGATAGTTAACATTTTTAGGGGCCCATTTTTAACAAAACTTTTCCATATATAAATATATTTATAAAATAATTTTAATTTATTTTAAAACTTTGTATCATTGCATTCACACCATCCACCATGTACACTGTTGTGCTATTTACTGTTTCATTTTTTTGTTTTTTATATTTTGCCCTGTTGATAAAACTAACTTAATGCTAGTAACTTTATTGGTTGGAGAGCATTGCATTGTGTGATTTTTACCAGAGATAAATCAGCCATCCTTCTATTTGTGAACGTTGCAGCTGTTATTTTGTTGCTGCTATTGTAAATAAGATATTTTTAAAATTTCTTTTTTAGATAGTTCATTTTTAATGTATAGAAACACTATTGGTTTTTGAATATTGACTTTGTATCTTGTAACTTTACAGAATTCATTTATTATTTCACAGTTTTTTGTTTAAGTCTTTAGGGTTTTATATATATAAGATCATGTCATTTACAAACAGAGACAATTTTACTTCTTCCTTTCCAATTTCGATGCTTTATTTCTTTTTCTTGCCTAATGGCTCTGGCTAGGACTTCCAGTACTATATTGAGTGGAAGTGTGCATCCTTGTCTTATTTATGATCTCAGAGGAAAAGCTTTTAGCTTTTCACAGTTGGGTATGATGTTAGGTGTGAGTTTGTCATATATTAACAAAACTTTTCCATATATAAATATATTTATAAAATAATTTTAATTTATTTTAAAACTTTGTATCATTGCATTCATACCATCCACCATGTACACTGTTATTACGTTGAAATCTCTAGCTTTTTTAATTGGCTGGTAAATCAAATGATAAAAATCAATGGTTGCTTTATATAATTTGATTATAAATAGAGCAATACTTTTTATTAATGCTTTATAAATATTCTCTTGAATTTTCTATATAAACAATTGTATATGCTCTAACAGTAAAGATATGTTTCATATTTCTTTTCATTCCTTTTAGCTCTCGTTTATTTGAAGTGGTGGCCTCTCATTGCTCTACACAGATGTAGTCATTCATTCTTAAGATGTGGGTGATGATGAATCTGAATACCATTTGATTTAGATTGATCTGCATTGTATTTATCAAAATGTTTCCCTCAGATGAACAAAGGATGATACCTGGTGTTTGCATTTGTGAATCCCTTTGATGTAGGCATTCTGAAAACCAGTTAACCAATGCACCAGATCTTTGCAAAGCATATCTTCCAAAGAAATACCACCCACAGAGACATTTATGCCCAAAGAAATTCATTGTGGCATAGATCTAAATGTAAACAGCTATAAACAACTTAAATGTCCAAAATGAAGAAAAAGATAATTGATAGGAGAGGAAAACAGATGATGACCACATCTGTATACAGTAACAATAAGCTGTCGCTTAAATGGTACATTCAACATAGAATATTATCATAAAATAAATTTGAAACAAAATATATAAGATCCTATTTAAATATATTAATATTGGTATTAGATTGAAATGGAGGGCATTTCCTTT